TCCCTACACACACAATGTAACAGCAAGCTGAAAGGAAGGCAGAGCATCCTTGTAGTGAGAATACAGGCTGGGGAGTCAGAAAACCAAAATCCTGGCTCCTGGCATCATTTTCTATGTGACTACTGGCTAATCCTGCAAGCATCAGTGCCTCAGGTTCCCTGGCTGTAACAAACCAGTTGCCCTACTCCCAGGGGTGTGCGGAGGCTTACTTACTGCAAGTATTACTGCAAAGCTTTGAGATCTTTGAAGGGAAGGTGGAACAGAAAAGCAAAGAATCATTGTGAAAAAGGAGACTGCTCTCCTTAACCTTAGCGCTGATGGGAGCTGCAGAGCAGCTGTGAAGGAAATTCACTGTGAAAACTTCAAGCCATATGTGCTTCAGTCTCATGATGTGAAGTTCATTTCAGATGACTCTCAGTTCAGGAGATACATGCAGGGGGCTGGTTACATCCTGACATCTCGGTGCACGTGCAGTTTTTCCAGGAGCTTCAAGGTTGCAACCCCAAAAGGAGAGCAGAATACTCAATGCTGTACAGCGGGAAGGTGCTGTACAGCGTGACCGTTTGCATTTGCATGCTATCAGCGACATTGGGAGTTTCTGAAGGACCTGATGCAGCCAGGCTGTGAACGTGCACTGGGTAGGAACTGTTCATTACTCATCACCATAGCATGCCAGTTTTGTAGGCAGACAAATGCTGTTCTGCAGGGGAGGAGCCTTGAGAACCAAATGCCTGAGGTCCCCAAAGTAGTGTCTGCACTGCATCAGTGGTGGGTCTGGGGAGGGGAAGGTGGAACAGGGTTGAGCAACCTGCACCCACCAGAGTTTGCCTGTAGGGCTGCTATAGGTTTATCCCCAACATCTGCCCTTGAGACCTTGGTCTCCAGCGAGCCTGGAAGCAGCTGCTGGACAACAAGTCTGGAGCAGCTCTATGAATAAGCTTCCAGGTCTGGAGCCCATCAGTGGACTTGGTTGCCCAGGGTGTGCTCAGCCCTATCCTCTACAAGGCTTGCTGCTGACCCAGGACAGAGAAGGACACCTGCTTTTCGAGAGCTCCCTCTGGCCAGTGATGACGGGCGAGTTTGGTGACTGTGCAGGCTCTGACACGTCTAGCGTGGGTGAGAGGGAAGCACTCACCTCTGACTCTGACACCTCCATGGGCTTCTCGTTCAGTCCCACGCTCTCACTCAGCACCGCCCCATTGTACTTGTTGCAGATGTCCTCATCGGAGTAGTGCAGCCCACCAGGGCTTGGGCGAGGAGGGGACCTGGAAGAAGACACAGGGACAGTGTATGGGATTTCTTTTTAACAAGTACCATACACGTGCTAAAATCCTTTCCATACCTGACAGTATCACCTTTGACATTCCTGCCCCCTCTGAACAAAAGCACCATCACTCAGAGACTTACCTCATCCCTGAAATGAGAAGTTCAGCATCTATGCCAGGCCCAGCTCTGCTCAGTCTCTGATCAGTGATCACAGCACTGACGATCAGAGGCTGATATCACAATCAAGGGCAGGGATTCATAAATTAACTCAGCATTTCCACCAGATCCTCCAAACAGAGGTCTATCCCAAGATCCTATTTGCTTGTTCCATGGTAAGTATGAAGCTAAGTAAGCGAAAGAAGACGATGGCTAACTCTGAAAGGTGGCATCTCCCTTCTTACCTTGTTCCATTCTTCTTGGAGAACGTGCTCTTGACATTTAGGTGTCTGCTGTTGAGCTCCAATGCCGTGAAGCCTCCGTTATCCAGTGTAACAGTCTCCTCTACATTAGAGATGCTTTTACCTGGAGGTAAACAACCAGCGCGTTAGCTAGGAGAAGGATGCCGCCTCAGTTATATGCAAAGAAATAATCTAAGGAAGCACCAGAAACAAGGTGCAAACCTATCATTCCTTTTGTTGTTACTCCTAGACTCTGCAACACTCTCTACCTTCTTTCTCTATGGCAGAATATCCTAGCATGGAGGCAGAGAAGTCAGCTGGGCAGGAGCAGGCTGAAAACAGGATGAGGGAGATGCTGATTGAAGCAAATGAAGGGAAAGTTAAAAGAAGAAGGCAGGTGATAGAAAGGAAGGAGTGAAACTAGAAAGAAAGCCTGGGTGCATGGTGAAAGGTAAAAGAGATTGGAGATGCTACAGGGAGACAAATCATAGGAACAAGCAAAGTAAAGGACAGGGGAAGGGGGAAGGGGAAGACAAAGACATAGCAAGAGATTTTCCCCCCTCCGGCTTGTCCCAAAGGCTTGAGCTTTGCTGATGTCCTGGGCAGGAAGACTGGGCTCTTATTGCCACTTTGCTACAGGCAGGTAGGTTATCCTCAGCTTCAACTTCAATGCTACATTAAGACTAGGTGGGAACATGGATATCAGAAAGGAGAGGTCAAATCTGCCTTTTCATGTCTGTCTTCCAAATAGAAAGCACAACTCGGAGGATGAGAGACTTTTTATGTGCTGGGCATAGGGATATGTAATAGCATTAGCCTGGTAAAATGCCATGGCATTCACACATTTAAATCCCCTGGGACTAAAAATCTGATTTACTAACACTTGTTAGAAGTGAATTTACACAGAAGGAATAAATCCTTTCTCTGGGGCTGAATCCCTGGACGTGCTCACAGAGGCTCTTCTATCATTTATCCAGATGATACCAGCCCTTCAGCATTACAGGAGCTGGGGCCCTCACTGCCCACTCCAGCTAATTAGCGTTCATTTTGGAATATGCTAACATCAGGGCATTCACATAGCTCTTTCCTGGGAATAGTTTATGTCAAAGAAACATGCACAAAGAAGACTGCAAAACTAATTTTCAAAGCTCCAGAACCAGGGGTGATCTGTGTTTTGAAAGGGGAACATTTGCCCATCTCCAGGGATGGGACAGGAGCTCCTGTTTCCTGTGAGACGCTGACAGTTAAAGACCATTACTAAGACCAAATTAAAAGCCTGGGACCCAGAATACACTTGACATTCAAACAGTCACAACACTTGAGGCTAGCATCTGAGGATGAGAGTTATCTCTATGCTATTTATCATATAGATGGGCTGCAATTTGCTCCCAGCATGGGCAAACTCCCTAAGTACATACAACATGCAACTTTTCCTCTGGAAGCAGCGGCTGGAAATTGGAGTGTGCATTATATCTGAGAAAAAACACTAAGGTTCTCTGACACTGGGGTGAGACCAGAACTAAAATCTGCAGTGATCCACAGACAGTAGAGCAATGAGCAGGCTCAGCTCCCTAGTTGCTGCTAGTCAGTGGGTATGTCTACATGAGATGTGTACTGCGGAGCTGACTAATTAGCTGTGCAGTAAACTCTCAGCATCTACATGTGCAGCCCTATTTGGCCGCCGTAAACCAACAAACTGCAACAGAGTTATTTAATGTGCCGCAGTGCATGTATAGGTGCTGATGGGGTTGGCTGGGACACAAGGGTAGTTCAGAGCGGGGACTGCCTGCCAACTAGCCCCACACTGAAGCACCATCATGCCCCAGCCAGCCCCTCCGCAGCATGTTGGACCGGGCAGGAGCAGCCCCAAGCTGTCAAGCTGACCCCCTGGGGCCCCTGCCAGGTGGGGATGGATGCTCCACCCTGGCTCAACATGCTGCAGCTCTGGGCACATGCTAAAATGCAGTGCCCATGAGCAATAAACCCTGGCGTGAACTGTGCTGGAATTGATTGCTTTGAATTAATTGCACGTGTAGATGCACTCAGTTACTTACTATAAGGAAAGATCTTTCCTCCTGCATTCTGCCTTTCAAAAACCAAGTGTGTATTATATTCCAGGGTGTGCTGTATGCGAGAAAATATGGTACTTGTACATGGTTGGAAACATGGAGCAGCAAAAGCCATTTCTATCAAAACGGAGATCTGATTTATCTGCTCCAGCCAAATAAAATAGCCAGAATGAAAGATAGCACAGCTGCTGAAACAGAGCATGTTCCCACTCCCAGTCTCTTCAACACCTAAGAGTACATCCAGGATGCAGGAAGAAGTGAAATGCAAACATCAGCCACTCACCCGTGCTGCAATTCTTATATTTCTTGTTCTGCCCATGCAGGACCAAGGCAAATGCCACCAGCAAGATGAGGATCAGACTGGAAAGCGCCATCACCAGCAGGAACCACCACTCCTCATAGAAAGGGGTTTCTGTTTGTGCTACGAGGAGAACAAGCACATCATTAGAATCGTGATTATGTTGCCCTACGCCCCTTCAGCAGCTCCTTCACTTCCCATTGAAGTCGGTATCCAATTTAATCACAAGAACTGGAGGGCTTAAGAGAAGGGGTTAGCCTCAGGTGAAGATGCTCCCTTACAGTTCCCCTGAAAGCTCAGGCTTCCTGACTGCTAGTGCCCCTGATATTCTCTGTCTCTACATCTCCCATGTCATCTGACCGGCAGGAACTCCACTGCTTATTTTGGTCGAACCTATGCAGGACAGCGTCTACCTGACCGTGCAAGAGGCACACCCAGGACCAGTGAGCAATCAGTGTCCATACAATCAGACAAAATGAGGGGTGGAAGGGATCTCAGGAGATCAACCCGAGTCCAACCCCCTGCTCAAAGCAGGGCCACCCCAAGGCTTTGTCTAGCCAGGTCTTAAAAACCACTCCATTCCCATGCACCTTGAATCAAGCATCTAACAACCCTGCTCTTCTCTTCTTAGCTCTCCTCCTGTTCACAAATGGTGAAGTTACCCAGTCCTACTTGGCCACTTCCTTGCTATTCAGAGCTTTGGGTTCCCTGCTTGGCTCTTGTGGACTCCACAAGTCACTTCAACCCATCTAGCCTCATTTTCCCCAGCTGCAATACAACACTGAGTCAGGAATTCCCTGACCGAGGACTTTGAGATCCTTGGTAAGCACCACTCTTATTAATATCAACCTGTTATTGTCTTTGTTCTCATACCTCAACCCGGAAAGGCAGTATTATTGCAGACCCTCAGTGGTAAAGAGCACCACTACAGTCAACGAGGTAGAAAAATACTTGTGAGGAGCGGCTAGGAAACCTACTGTAGTATGGATGAATGCAGGCCATTCAGCCCACACTTCTTGTGCCTGCAAGGACTGTGCTTTCCTGCCCAGAACCCTTGGATCTGAACTCACCCCTGCTGGGCACCTAATGACTGGGCCCAGGTTCATGCCAAGTTATTGGAGATTATGTAGCTGTGGAAAGTATCTGTTCCCCTCTGCTGGGAGGGCAGCACAGGCCAATAAAGCCCTAAAGGCATGTAGAGAAGGCCAGGATGGGGGATGAAGAGATTCAGTGTAATTTATACCTCTCTGTGCCAGCTAAAGTGGCCGACCTGTAATGCTTTATGGCTTTTATGCCTGCACTTCTCAGTAGAAACCTCTTTCTTTAAGCAGCAATTGGAGATAAACCTTACAACATCCAAAGGAGGTGAATTAAACAGTTCTGCTCAAGTGCAGAATTACAAACAAGCAATTTATTTACAAGGAGCTGCCTGTGTACCCCGGGGGGGGGGAACCACTCCTGGCTGGAAGGAGGGGAGCGGCTGATGGGATTCCAGCTACACAACAGCCTTTTCGCGTTATGCCACACAATGCACCACCGCAGAGGGAAGAAACGGTGTCTCCTGGTATCTGGTGTCCCTACCACTCTCGCGCCTGGCCTGGAGACGAGAGCGAGGGCGCTGCTCACCCTGACATCCGTCAGCTTTCCTTATGGCTGAGCGGTTCGCCGTGCAGGAAGTAAGCACAAAACACACGCCCCCGTGATGGTGAGAGTTGCATTTACTTCTCCTTCCTGCTGGCTAACTGTTGAACAGTGTTTATGCTTTTCACTCCAGGAGCAGAGAGATAAAAGCCACTCTACATCCTGGATCGCTGCCAGGCCCTCAGGAAGCGCCCGAATTTTGAATCACAAAGACACTTTTAACAGGTTTTATTTTTCTGCTCCCAGCCTTTCACTGACTCCGTGGAGATGAAACCCTCTGTCCAGGAGCAACTCGGAGTGGAAGGCAGCGTCTCAGCAAGGGTGCGGAGAGACTGGCGTGGAGCCTTTGCAAGGGCAGAGTCTCCTACTGCACAACAGGCCATCAGATCCCAGCCACGCAGACACCAAAGATACCCAGCAAGCTTCAGTGGAGCTTGCGTCTCAAAGTACTTACGGGCAATTACCTTCCGGCTGGCACTAAGCCTTCAGTCCTGAGGCTGGAGGGATTTCTGATGGGGTTTTGACTATACCATTACCTCTTGCACATAGCTCGGTGCAGCTGGCAAAAGGGCGCATGAATAACATGAGCAGTTTTGCTCGTGTGGTCTTAGTGCCTGATCCTGGGATGGGAATCTTCCTCTTGGCTTCAGGGAGGGGTGGGGAGAGCTGCATTTAGCTAAGTGGAATTGCCAACAGGCGGGGTACAACTTTCTTTGCTAATTAAACACCTGGCACCCTTTTCATAGCAACCTGCAAGATAACAAACGCATCCAGTGTCTATCCCGGGAGACTGCGGGAAGAATGAGAAAGAGAGAGGAGGAGGGAGAAAGGGCAACTTCACCCTCTGTGCATGCTAAATAGGCATGGCTAAACACACGAGAATTGATATGCATGATCCCCATTGCCCCCTAATGAATGTATTTGGCAAATATTCAATTGATGTGCACCTGCTGTCCATTAGAGCAGCCTCCCGTTGAGAGGCAGGCCACTGGACTATCATCAGGCTGTGTGATTCACCACTGCATCACTTCAGCATCACCCCAATTTCAACAGGACAATGCTGGCATAACAATGAAACAGTGCAGGCCCTCACGGCTTTGTGTACAAAGGGGTCTGGTTTCTCTCTCCTCTTTAAGCCCAAGGGAGAGGGTATAATACAGAACACATGATTACCTGATATTGCTGCAGAGGGAGGGCTCTGTGCTCCATATCCAAAGTCATTTACAGCTACCACCCGGAATTCGTAGCTCACCCCCTGTTTCAGCTTGTCCAGACTGACTGTGTAGGAGGTAGCACTGGGGGGGATGTCCTTCACAAATGCATCCCACAGTCCTTCATCTAGGAAAGCGGCAAGAAAAGTGCATCATTAGCAGCGTTGCTGTGTGCTCTTTCTCGGCTCTGTGCTCCATATCCAAAGTCATTTACAGCTACCACCCGGAATTCGTAGCTCACCCCCTGTTTCAGCTTGTCCAGACTGACTGTGTAGGAGGTAGCACTGGGGGGGATGTCCTTCACAAATGCATCCCACAGTCCTTCATCTAGGAAAGCGGCAAGAAAAGTGCATCATTAGCAGCGTTGCTGTGTGCTCTTTCTCCTGCTCTGTGAAAACAAGTTGCTATTAATCATGTGTTTCGACATTAGGCAATTTCCATGCATACCTGAACCACTGTTTTCCAACAGCGCAAGTAAACCCAAAGCAACGAGGTCCGCTACTAAGTCACAATCATGCTAAGTCGCGCCTGCTTTTTACATAACAGAGTTAGCGGCAGGAACCAAACATCTGAGCTGCGCTTTGCATGCTTTTGTAGACTTCTGTTGGAGCATGAAATACAGGAGCCCTACATGGGAGACCAGAGAACTCTGCACCATATTGTTTGCTTAATAATATTAATAATAACAGTAATAATCATAATAATGACAGTGCCCCGAGTCTCTTGTCTTGCAGATTGGGTAACACGCCAGGAAGAATTGGTCAGGGAGAGTGTGAGATGCGTTTCGGTATCAGATTTCGATACAGAAAGATTTTTGCTAAAAATTATAAAGCTTGCTTTCAACATGAAGCCTTTAAAGAAGATCAAACATGCCCATGGACCTGGAGTCTGATGAAATCCCTGTCCTGTAACCCAGATGTGCAGGTTAATAATCTAGTTATTCAACAGCCACGCTACTATTTAGATTGAGAACTATTCACACCCTGCTCCCCCCATACAGAGTTCATACTCCTATGTTCATTTGAAGCACAATGCAAAGATGCAACAACACGGTCACTACTAGAGACTGGAAAAAATGACAACTAAAAATGCCGCTCAACAATTTTGAACTTGGGAACATTAAGCTACAACACCTCTCTTGGGACCCGCCGCTTCTAGTGACAAAACGTAGGCACCAGGTGGTAGAGTATAGGGCAGGGCCCAGCATTTATTGCTACAGGAGTGTTCAAACTGCACTGTTAAAAGCAACGGGTGAGATTCTTACCTGGTGTGAGCTGGCACAGCACTCAGGCTCTGGCCCATTCAGTACTATATTAGATTTCTGACTTTAATATTTCGGTAATGAATATTCATTTTCCCTTGTCCGTCTTAATGACAGTATAACAACAGAGCAAATACATTTTGCATAAATATCCTTTCAGTGCAGAAAATGCTTGTATTGGAAGAGGGCCCTCTGCGCTGAGAATCTATTATGCCTGTTACTGTTTCAGACTCAAAGTGCTATCACTATATCAGTAAAGCAAAAGCCAACAGCGTTATCATTAATGACATGTTCCAGTGCTGCATTATCAGGGCCAGAATCTGTTGGGATTGACTCTAGTGTAAGTCTGGTGAAAACCAGGCAGGGTTTCCAGAACGGCACTACGAGAACAGAGCAGAATTTGGCCCATAGCCTATTTCTTTGCAACAGGGAATAATAGGGAGAACTGAGTGATTTATGCTGCAGGTGCATTTCCATGTGAATGTTTTAATTTTGCCATCAGTAAATATTGGTTCAGTAATTTGTAATGTGCCGGGTGTTTCACATCATGCACAGTGACTAACAACCCCCAGACAGCATCTTTTCTGATCAAGATGATTGGCAGTCCCAAGTGGATACTTGAAGCAGGCTGAAAATGTTATTGTTCTGTCCACATTGGAGAAATACTAAAGAACAATAAAAATAGGTAATTCTTCTGTCATGTTTAAAATTCAGACCAACGCATTATTCGCCAGCATGATCAGAGCATAATGAAGTTATCATAATGTACCACTGTTATGTATTAGTTTTTTTTACAATGGGTATAAAACAGGAGATAAAATATTGACTTCATTTTTACAATGCAGTGTAAAGCTTGATTATTTCTCCCATGTAAAGTTACAACGCAATAAAAGAAAGCTTGGAATTTTGTTTACTTGAAGGGGGGGGGGGGGTGGCGTGGATGCATTTTTGAAGTTGGCTGGCTCCAGCCACCAACGCTAAAAAGGATGCCGTGGAGTCTATAAAGTATTCTCGTAATTACTAAAACTTCATGACTTTTCATAAACACACTTGTAAACAGTGATAACAGAATTTCAGCTCACTATGAATTGTCTGAAAAGTAATTTGCTTGCCCTGAGAATTGCTTCAGTGCAGAGAACAATAACAGAATAAAAAATGATTTTTCCACTACTAATTTCAATAGAAGCAAACCCTGCACTCTCTTACCATTTTTCTTAAATTTCCCAGGAAATCATTTACATTCAGAGTGGGATAAAGGCAGCAAAGCTGCTGCAGACAGCTCTCAAGTCAGCCCTGTTCGGCATTGAATGGGAAGTTGTGCTCGCGGGGGGGGACCTGCCAGGCCCCATCCCCTGCCTGCGCCCCCAGCCCCTCTGAGCACCCCCTGCCCGCTGTCCCCCCATGGCTGCCCTGCCTGCCCCCAGCTCCTGGCTCTTTAAAAAAAAGCCCCCACTCACTGGCTGCTGCCAGGCGGGGGGCGATCCCTGCTGCCCCCCACTGTCCCACGCTGTGTGGGGGGCTCTGCCACAAGCCCCCAGAAGCCCTGAGGGCAGCCATGGGGGGGCAGCGGGCAGGGGGTGCTCAGAGGGGCTGGGGGCGCAGGCAGGGGATGGGGCCTGGTGGGGGTCCCCCATGGACCCCTCCCCCCTCTCCCACCCCCTACATTCCAGCACGGAGTCCAGGTCCAGTTCCCTGCAGCAGCGAGCGGGGACTGCCTGAATCTCCGAAGCTCTTCGAATCTTTTCCGAATCGATTTGGAGAGCTTCGAATCAATTCGGACCTTTTAACTGGTCTCCTGATTTGATTTGGATTTGGAGATTCGGCTGCCAAATCGGGCCGAAATCTCCTTCAAACCAAATCAGCGCCCAAAGCTTTGCACAGCCCTACCATGCAGGTGCCAGGCACAGTCCAGCCCTTGGGCTTTTCCACACCTGGCTGGGAAGGCTTTACGTGACTGGGATACCTAGATCTCACCTACCCGTGCACAGCAGGGTCTGATGAACTTTGCCAATTAAGCACCACTGTATGTATTTATGAACTCATTCACTGTATAAGTCTCCCTTTCCCCCCCTAAACACGCTTGCTATAGACGAGATGGGCTGAGAGAGAATTGAGCAGCGGGACATCTAGGGCAGAAGCGATTGGCTCTTGTATTAGGGAGAAAGGCATCAGCATACTGTACACAACATTTCCCACGTGGCTCTTCAGAAGGAAGGATTTGCATGCCAAAGCCAATATATCAACAATGCATTAATGCAGAGAAACCACTGGAGAAGCAGTGTTTGCGACGCTAAATCACCACCCCCCAAAACAGGCACAGGCCTAGCCAGGCCCAGTCAATTCCTGTTTAATGTACTGTGAGATGCAGCACAGCTGGCAATAAGTATGCAGCCATATTGCTCTCAATTGCTTTTGCCTCAATAACATCTGTCCCTTCCTTCCATTCGTTTTGCCTTTTGGTGGCACCCGGACTCAGAAAGGAGGGCTAAACGCCTAGCACAAAAGGGAGAGTTCCTTGGAAAAAATAAATCTCATTTTGCTTCCTGATATTATAAATGCTTCGCTGCATCATGGCCCAGCCTCATTTCCGGCAGACACGGGGGCCGATGTTTATCTCCCAGCCTTGGTTTCCAGCTCCCGGAGTTACACGCGCGTGTAAAGAGAAGGCTCCAATCACTAGGGAAGACAATAGCTGCTTCGACCTATTGTTGCGTGGAGCCCGTGTCGGATACTCGTGGGCTCCGCACATAGTTGATCCCTCGGAGGCGGCGAGCGGCGCCGTGCGCTGCAGGTGTTCGAACAGACGCTCCAGCAACACAAAAGTTTGATTTCACGGACAATTAATCAGGGTCTCCACGCTGAATAAAACTGTCAGTCACGAACGGAGGCTTCTGGTTCCGATAACACAGACCACTAACTAATGGCTGTCAAGCTGGAGCTGGGGCGAGATAGAAACCTGCCTGTAATTTATCTCTTAAATGCCAGCTTTTCTCTCTCGGTGCCACAGGAGAGCTGTGCTGTAAAACTTTCGGCTAATCGCACATCAGGAAGTTTACGAGGGAAAACACCACCGAGCATTACGGACCTTCCAAACTTGGGCAAGCGCTCGCACCACGATAGGCAAAATTAAAATGTTAATTAAATTTGTTTACAGGGGAAGCCTCAGTGCAAACTAACTAAAGGGCCAGAACAGAGAGTGAAGGCTGACAAACCACCAGCCCCATGCATGCTGTTGGAGGGCAGCGATGAATGAAGGGCCCCCACGGCCAATGCCAGAGATACACCTGTGCCCTTTGCTTTGAATTTACTGGTTTGGCTGGTCTGTGTCCAAGCTCAATGTTGCATTTCCTCATTTGTTTAAAAATAAATGGAAAATGCGGGGCGGGAGGGGGATCACAACAAGTTACTCAATAGGCTAAAAAGAGAGCTAAAGAGAGCGCAACCCTCAGAGCAGATGGAAACAAAGTGCCGCAACCTTTTTGGGGAGGGAAAAGCCCAGTGCTGACAGGAACGGTCCTTCTTGAAGCTACCTGCTCTGGCTGAGGAATATACCATTTAAGGGACAAAAGGGGGCTTTGCCTGACTGGTCCATATTCTAAAAATAGGTGTTTCACGGCTGCTTTGGATTTATTTGGCTTATAGTTGCCAGCCAAGTCACGCTACAGACCATTATCATGGGAAACATGTTAAGGCAGCTTGTAGGCATCCCACGATCTTCAAGGAAGTCTCACAGATCATCAAGGCATCTGCTGCAGGCCAATACATGCATTGAGGCCCCATGCCTCTATAGCCAGGACAGCGTGGATCCTACAGGTACCATGCAAAACCACTCTCCCTCCCTTGGATGTGGAAGGTAATGCCAACCTGTGAGGAAAACTCAAGGCTTGGAGAGTGTTCATCTCACAAAGTGGTACTGCCTAGGCCACACACCTATCCTTATTCCCAATACAGAGAGGACAACAGGGTATCTGACAGTGTTGGAGAGAGGGACAAGCCACTTTCATAGATACAGAGATGTTTGGGTCGGAAAGGATCTTAGCAGATCATCGAGTCCAACCCCCTGCCCTGGTCTGGAAAGAGCGCTGGGGTCAGACGACCCAGCTAGGTGCTTGTCCAGTCTCTTCTTAAAGACCCCCAAGGTAGGGGAGAGCACCACCTCCCTTGGAAGGCCATTCCAGACTCTGGCAACCCGTACCATAAAGACGTTCTTCCTGATGTCCAACCTAGATCTGCTCTCCGTCAGTTTGTGGCCGTTGTTGCTAGTTACTCCAAGGAGTGCCCTGGTACACTGAGCATCTCCTATTCCTTGCTGCCCTCCGCTGATGAATTTGTAGGCAGCCACAAGATCACTTCTCAGCCTTCTCTTGCGAAGGCTGAAGAGATCCAGGTCCCTCAATCTCTCCTCACAGCACTTTTCCTGCAGGCCCCCAACCATACAAGTGGCCTCCTCTGGACCCTCTTGAGGTTGTCCACATCCCTCTTGAAGTGCGGCACCCACAACTGGACGCAGTACTCCAACTGCGGCCTGACCAGTGCTGCATAGAGGGGAAGTATCATCTCCCTGGACCTGTTCATCATGCACCTGCTAATGCATGATAAAGTGCAGTTAGCTTTACTTTACTTAGCTCCCCTCTTCTCTAGCTGGTAGAATTTGCACCTTTTTGATGGGTTTCCAACAGGAGGTGATGCATATTTCTCACATTGCCTAACTGAACCTTGGGTAGCATTTACTATGGCAGCAATGGAGACCACTCAAATGCAGTTATTATAGTACTTGAAGAGTTGAACTGGAATCTATTCCCCTTGGCATAATGGTGATGAAGGGAGGGAATGTTTCTGAAGTTTCTCCAGCTTACGAAGGAAGCTCTGAAAATATGCTGCTCTATTTGTTCTGCGCCTGCATCTGAAGTGTCTTCCAGATGGGTGAAGAGGTAAGCAGACTGGGCACCTTACGTCAGCACAGAAGCACAGCAGGGAGGCAGAATAAATAGACTCAGCTGTATATTAATAGATTAAAAAAAAAAAGCAGCAGGGCAGAAGGACCCCCTAGAAAATGAGCAGTGCACTGAAAAAAAATCAAGTGGCAAAATACAGGAAAAAGAGGTCAATGTTTATTACACAAAACCACTCTCCCTTCCTGGTGGAAGACAGCTTTGGCAGAGAACTCCAGCAGGAAAAATGAGGTTGTGCAGCATTTAATGTTTGGGGTAATGAGGCCTATAATAGATGACACTTGAGATCTGAAACACGAAGGTAATGGTACTGCATTTAAATACTGACAACAAGCTAAAGCCTTGCATTTGCCACGAGATGTTTCTGGCCTGGTCGCAGAAGAGCAGAGACCTTTCTTGCCTCGCTTTGTGGGACCCGGGCACAAGTTAACAGATCTTCTCTGGATGGGACAGCAACGATCTGAAATAAAGTCCCTCTAACTGGTGTTCTACTGCTTAGCAATAAACCAGCACGTGGAAACGAATTGTTAATGCTGTGTTAAAACCAAAGCCGTCCTAAAATGGCCAGCCCCATCAGGGGGAGTTAACTCCCTTCCTTTGTTGGGCTCTGAATTCAGTTTTCAAGCTCATGCGTGCCAAGATGAGGAAAAAAAGGGGTATTTAAATGCAGCTGGAGTTTGCATGAAATAAGCAAACATTCCAATTAGTCCCTCTCCTCAGTTGGATCGCATTTCATGCTCTCTACAGCTTCAACCAGAACTAAGACTGGGAGTCTAACATGCAAACAGCCAGTTCATTTACTACAGCAGCATGAATAGGATTAAAATAATCGGAGAAGGAATTAAATGACTCAACAGTCATGTCTCTAGAGCAGGGGCAGCAAGAGACTGTTTGCAAGTTCAGTGGAGTGGGGCTGGGCGGAATGACGCTGGGATAATGCAGCTCAGGTGCGGTGTGGGAGGACTCCACTTCCCTTGCAAAGAGCCAACGTGCCACAAATCTTCAGGCAGCGTATGGAAAATGTTCACTTGCATCAAATGGTGAGCTGAGCCCAGGCGTGTCTGATAACCTGGGAGTGTAGCCACACACAGCAGTGTTAGCTGTTACATGGGCATGCTCCTTTGGAAGCTGTTGTGTTTGTCCAAGGGCATTCAGAAATCAAATGATTCCAGCCACAAGCGTGGGTGAGAGGGCTGCCAGGATGGTCAGCACTGAATATCTTGTGAACATAAGGTAAAGCTAGGCATTAATTGCCATGAGCAGATTCAAGAAAAAGTAAGTTTAGATTCTTATGTGCATAGTCAATATATTCACATATCACACAGAAGCCTCGTGGTGTGTTTCACATAGGGCTGCCAACCCGCCCCGATCGGCCAGGAGTCTACCGGAATCGGCATCGATCTCCTGGTGACTACTGAAAGCAATCCAGAAGACTGATATTGTGAATGGGTTGTACAGTACAATTAATGACATTGCGTCACGTTGGGGGAAAATAAAAATCTCCTGGAATAGCTTTGATCAGAGTTGGCAAGCCTGGTTTCACAGGGGAACAGGTTAGAGCTTGGGTTTTTCCTGTCTACAAGTGTGGCAGGCCAGTAGGGGGCACTGCTGCGCTGAGCCACCCACCTCACCAAGCCCGACCACCTACCAAGCTCCGAGTGCCTCCCTGGCGGCACATCACATCTGGGCAACCCCACTCCTGAAGCACACCAGCATGCCTGGGGGTACCGCTGCCACCACCCAGCCATCTGGACTGTTTCTGAGCCCTGTGCTGCAAGGGGTACGCGGGCCTTGTAGTCCTTGAGGGTGTTTGACCCACTGCAAAAGCTTGGGATGCTTCCTCTAGCCTGGAGTATAAAAAGTAGCTTCCCTTAGTCAGCCTCTTCCAATGACTCCACCACTCTTGGTACAATGAAGAACTTTACTGGTTACAGTGGGAAGGCTTGGGGAAGGGGGCAGGTACAGAAGTATTACAGAATAACCTTAGAGCAAACAGCGTGGCTGGGTAGCCTTTGGTCATGCATCTGTGCTACCGTGTTGCTTTTTCAGCCCCACACTTGCAATTTTCTTGTTGGCAGGCAATAGGGAAGTGGAATCCAGGCCTCATTCTGAAATCCCCTCATTTGTTTTAAAGTGCCATTTGACTGTAGTTAACGAGCTCCAACCACAGGTTCGTCTGGGTCTCACAGCATGGGCTGGCCCTTTACAGGGTCTGGGTTCAGCTCCACCTATGCCATCACTGTAGGCATTGCACTGGGTACTTTTTGTGCCATTTTGTATGCTTGAGAGAGGGACAGAAAGTCAAGGAGAAGCAGTGGTATTGGGAGAATAGCTGTGATAAAAGCTTAGAGAGGGCATTTTGGGTTCAGAGCTGCCTTGGACTGTGACTAAAGCAGCCTTCTTCTCTTGCCTGATTCCTTCTGTGTCCACACAACATTGCATGTTCTTTTAAATGGCCAGGACTGCGTCAAAGCTACCAGGGTCCATTTTCAATGCCTTCCCAACTGAAAGAGGTCTCAGTTTGCTTCACTGCTTGGGTCAGAAGTTAAGCAGTTACCGGAAGGATGCCAAAGAAAAAACCTTCACTGGCATTTTAGTCTGTGGCATGCCTTTCCCTGACATTGCATTAATGGCCAGCCTTATTTCGCAAGATGACATCTTTCAGAAGATATCTCAAATTGAGAACTTGGCCCCTTGTTGCCATCTAAGATTCCCTCCCCTTCCCTTCCCACACACTTACTTTGTTGTATTAATCAAATTGATAATGATATTGCACCCCACCTAAAATATCTGCATAGAGTGAACTGGAGAACTTATTCTGCGTGACCTATTGCTAAGAGCCACGTACCGTTATTGATGTAAGGAACCTGCCACGTTCTGAAGCAGAAGACGGTATATTTTTCAGTGCTAGGCCAATGATCCTCAAATATACATTTTATGAGTGCTTCCGCATGAAAGGTGCCGTATACACTTGTAATTTTAAATTATTAACTAGCGTGGATCCTTAATCAGAGGTTTTGCTGGTGATGTTGTTTTGAAAAACACCGCAGCGGTCACGGCAATTCCCCGTGACTATTCCTAAATAGGAGGAAATCTGACAGGACCGTATAACATCATGTAATGTAAGGCAAAAATAGGAACTAGGATAAAAATACTGAGCAATACCAAGTAAATGAGGACTCTAATCTTGCTTATTTTCCTCCACAAAGTCCCATCTCTTTATCTGGTGGACAAATGCCTTCTTTTAAACCACTACGCTGTGGCCGTGAGTGTGGGGGTAGACTACCAGACTGTCACCAAAGCTGTCCAAGTCTGCATATTTTCTTTGCAGTTCCTACCTGATGGCCGTGCCTCTATGATGTAGCCAGTTGTAGGTTTGTCGCCTGAATCTCCCTCGGTCCACTGCACAGTCAGTCCTGAAGCAGATTTTGTAACCTGAATTTCCTGAGGGGAACCAGGAGACCCTGAGGGATGGAACCAGAATAGAACCGTAAGGGAGCGTAGGACACGAGCAGGCTGGGCTTTGTAACTTCTGCAGGCACACAGAAAAAAACACACAGAAAAAAAAGCTTTGGCCAAACTCTTAAGCAGCATAAACTCATTTAATAGGTTGCTGGTTCATACCTTCTCCTAGTTCAAGCACTACAGAATAAAATATCAGTTGTTAGGTTTTGCAGAGATACCTCTGTCAGTTAAACAAAGGAAAAACCTGTCACTTTGACAACTTCCAAACATCGACACGGTATCACTGATATTCCTGCCTACCGAGTCAGCAAAGCAGCATCCCCTGAATTTTAGAGAGCAGCCTGTCCATTCCTTCAACATGTCACTGGCACATCCAATGGGATTATCAATTTATAATGTCTATGCTCTGGGCATGACAATGAGGTGAACTGCAGCAGCGGGGTATCTTCATCACAGCTGCACGCTACAGAAGCGATTTCAATGAAATTAAAAATCATTGCACCATTGTTAGAGGAACGGGATCTATTTTGAGGACAGCACTCCTGGAGGCATGAGTGCAAGAGACGGGAACAATAGGAACTGATGGAGGGTCGCTGATTGAGGGGTCAGGAAGGCAAAAGGAGAATGGTGAACAAATACTGGAAAGAGGCTTAATGGAGTACTGGGCAGAGAGAGGTAATTTTAATGCCTTTAACCTTCTAGCTGTAAATTGTAACTATTAACATGAATCACCTGTTTATCAAGAAAAATACTTTAAAAAACTCTTGGTCTCCAAACTGACAAAACCCAGGGAGCCTGACCTTATGCCTGCTGTCCTCCTTTCGGCATAAGGGGAGTGCATGGGCAGACAGCCACAGGCACCAGCCAAGGCCTAAAGACACATGGGAACCGTTCTCAGCTCTTGCTACTTTTACACCCAGAAACTCTAGCAACTTGGGCAGTTCTTCTCGCTTGGAATTGGAAGTGTGATCAGTGCCATCAGAATTACAGGCAGGCAGGGTCATGATAGCTTTGATTCCTTTGGCTGGTCAGTCTGTGCTACAGTTCATTTCCACAGGGTTTTTTCAGTGGGTCTTTCTGGATTTCATAGAGAAGGACAACCATAGACAGCTGCAAAACCATCTACATCATGACCAGAGCCCTCATGTCTCAGCTTTCCTTCGGACTGGGAACATATGTGGAGTACACCGTGCGTTACTGCCTGCCGTTGGACTTTGTTAATATAATCTGATCTGCTCCGCTGATGCTTCTAAGGTCCTACTTACCTTTTGCTGGCCCAGCTGTGATGTTGGCTTGCAACTCGGGTCCATAGGTGATGGTCCTGGCTTGCACTCGAAACAAATAGGTCACTCCCTTGACGAGATCTCGGACCTTTAACCAGCGCTGCCAATTTCCTTTGATGTCCACAGTCACCACCTTGCTCACCCCTAGAATGGCCCATGCAGGTGAAAAGAGAGGAGGGGGTCTCAGTGGGGAAAAGCCAGCTATCAAGCAGAGCTCATCCCATCTAGATCGCAAATAAAATGATCTCACAGTTTGCTAAGAAAGTATTCCTTACAATTAGCAGGAGTTTAAGTAGTGATAATAGCCAATTTTCAGCACTGATAAGTATAATTAGAGTTTAAGCTTGATAAGTGGGTACTGACAAGAAAAAAACCTTACAACACAACTGGGAAATTACCAAGAGACTATGTGCAACGTTGCTAATTACACTGGGAAGGAAGGAAGGAAGGAAGGAGGTGAGCGAAAGGAGGAAGTAAGTGAAAGGAGTGCGAGCGCTTCCTCAACCAGAGCCGCTCTGGTTGCTCCCTCTTTGCCAGGCATCCTGCAAAAGAATTGCGAGGGCAGACACCAGGCTGGATTCAGCTTTGCTCTTCACCTTTTACAGCTGTCTACACCAGTGCTCAGAGAGTGCAAAGCCAGTAGTGTAGCTAGGGGCAGACAAGAGGGACAGCAGGTCTAGCACTGATTTAGGGGGCATGTGCACTGTGGTAGCAGCAGGAACAGCTGGGGGCAGAGGGGGAGGTGACACGGATCTATGAAACAACGTCAACCCCCAGTGTCCGGGACGACGATGATGACGGAAGTGGCAGAACAAAGTGGAGTGCAATAGTGACTCTGAATGGGCCTTGTTGTTTAAAAGGACAAGGCAGCTTTTAAATCCTCTGTTGAAAGCTGAGCCTTGCTTCAGTCCCTTTACCCTAAAGTGGCTCAGTGTCCTCATTCTGGCTGGAGGAGAATTTTCTTGATAGAGGCATAGTGAGAGACAGGACCAAGACTCTCTTTTGAAGACCCTTGTGCAAGTCTTAGCATAAGGGGTTAACTAGGGAAAGTCCTGGGGGATGGGAGTGGGATTGTAGAGCACTGTACTGTGTAATGCAGCCCAGAGGGAAGCCCTGGGAAGCTGCCAATGCTGTGAGAGCCCCTTAGGGGTGTCTGAGTTGCACTAAGGCACCTGCAAATTCAGAGGTGACCTGAGACAACATCAAGCTGTACCTCCTACAACCTCACCCCCATCTTCCAGACATGCATGTTCCTTTAACTAGGATACTAGCATCCCATAGGATAGGACTGAAGACATGTTGAGCATTCAATTTACTCTTCACTTTTAATCAGCGGGTCTTTTTGCATGCTTTTCTCTCCTGTGGGTGACTGACCACTGAAGCCAGTTCTTTCACCAATGCTTAGAGTCGGTTGCATGTTTAAATTCATCAGTATACCAGGACGCTGCAGAGAACCATACTTTCTGGCATACAACACCTCCTTCCCCCTGGAATATAATACACACTTTGTTTTTGAAGGAGAAAATGAAGGAAGAAAAGTTCTTTTTTTTGTAGTCAGTCACTAAGTAGCAGCAACTAGAGGGCTGAGCCTGCTCACTGCTCTGCTCCCTGTGAATCGCTGCAGGTTTTACTTCCGATTCCACCTGGTTATAGGCAGAGCTGCTCTTACTGTACTTCTTACATATAATATAAGCTCCTCCAATTTGCAACAGCTTGTTTGGGGAAAGGTACATGCTGTATACAATAAATATGGCAATTGGAAAAAGTGTGTTTCCCTAGGAAACTACTAAAGTGCTCCCCCTTCAACTCTAGGAACATAATTCAAAGAAATACAGGAAAACAGGAATATTTGTTATTTCAAACTGAAATCTAAATAGTGAGGATGGGGTGGAGGGTGGAGGGAAGGCTCCAAGGCAGTGTTGTTGTCTGTCTCTGGATAAAATATAAAATGGTAAAGTGTAAATATGCATGATAGATGATCAGATGGACAGAAGCTTCTGGGCAACATATGTTGGCCATGCCCCATCTTAAAACTTGTTAGATTTTAACTAGAGCTCTGTCTAAAAGAGCTTTGCATTGGCTAGTCCAGCACAATGAAGACTGAGGAGGCACATGCCTGATTTGTATAAATACAGCTGGTGTAAAAACCAGGGCCAGAGAAGAACCATTTAAGTTAAAGGACAATGCTAACTTCAGAATAAAGAGGTATAAACCAGCCATGAATATATTGAATTTGGAAATCAGAAGAGCTTTTCTAACCATCAGAGAAGCAGTGTTCTGGGACAGCCTCCTAACAGGAGTAGTGAGGGCAAACAGGAGGGCAAGACGGCACAGACAGACGCGAGAGGGAAGAGCAGAGAAGGGAAATATGAGGGTAGGGGATAACATCAGATAGATATAAGAAGACTGAGGTGTGGAATCATGACTGGGATGGCAGAAGAGGGAATGTTTTATTACTATCAAACACATAGTAATGGAAGTGATAGGGTAATACTGCCAGTCTCACTTCCCCATGACACCCCAGTGTTGTTCTGGTAGATCAAAGGGGAGTCCTATTTTCTAGGGGTGTGCAAAACGAGCCCTATTCAATTTGGATTCGACCCGAATCAGGGATAGTGATTCAATCTGTTGATTCGGATCACTGTCCCTGATTCGATTCGGCTGAATCTGAGTCTGAAGATTCGACACTGATTTGGAGAATCAGCAATTCGGACAAAGACACAGCTATAAAAGTTTTTTCTACATACCTTGGGGTAGCGGGCATGGCTTGTGATTGCTGTGATACTGGGGTGCATGGAGCGTCCCACAGGAGTGCAGGTGGGGGGCCCTCCATGTGCTTGGCGACGAAACTGGAAGTGGACTGGAAGTACTTCTGGTTCACTTCTGGGTCCGCACGCCAGGGCCCCCCCTGCCCCCTGCATTCCCCCAGCTTGGCGATCAGCCATAGGGGGACCCCCAGACCCAGGAGGCACCAGTCGTTGAGCCAGGGGGACATGGGGGAGCCCCCAGCATGCTCCCCAGACGATCTGGAAGTGGACCAGAAGCACTTCTGGTCCAATTCTGGGTCTGCTGCCGAGTGCACCGGGGAGCCTCCATGCTTCTGTGGGATGCTCCATGCGCCCCAGCATCGCAACATTCACGAGCTGCCTCCTACCTAGAGGTATGTAGAAAAAACATTTAAAGCTGTGTCTATGTCTGAATTGCTGAATCTTTCCGAATCAATTTGGAGGGTTCAGATTCAATCTGGAGAGATTAAAGGGTCATAGATTTCATAGACATCAGGGCTGGAAGGGACCTCGGAAGATCATCGAGTCCAGCCCCCTGCCCCAGGGGCAGGAAGTCAGCCGGGTTTATAGGATCCCAAAAAGATGAGCATCCAGTTTGCTCTTGAAGGTGTTCAATGTGGGCACTTGAACCACCTCCGGTGGCAGGCTGTTCCAGACCTTGGGGGCTCGGACAGTAAAGAAATTCTTCCTTATGTCCAGCCTGAAACGGTCTTGTAGTAGTTTATGACCATT